TCGCCCCGCATCGCAGCCGCCCCGATTGCCGCCGCCCGCTCGCCCGTTATGTCCTCTGAGAATCACCCCATCGCCGCGGCCGCCCTGAAGCTGGCCAAATCCGGCGGCATTGAAGCCGTTCAGGAGTGGGAGCAGGACCGCTTCCACAACGCCCTGAACAACATCTCCCACAAGAAGTGCGCCGCCCGGCCTCCTTGTGTTCGGTCTCCCCTCGCTCTGGCTCATCTTCCTCCTCCTCCTCCTCGCCCTCATCGTCCTCCCCCCTGGACGCGTCTATGCTCTGGCAATTGACCCTCCCCGCTCCCGCCCCCGCCCCCCCGCCCCACTCCCACGCCGCTGCTCGCCTCGTGGCAACGGCCTTGCCCCCGTTCGCACAGGGCCGGGCTCCGCCTGAACGGCCTGCGCGAGTTCATCGACCTCGTGCACTTCTCCCTGGAGCCGGGGCACCTGCTGCAGAAGTCCCCGCTGACCGTGGTCACCGAGCTGCAGGCGGCCATCCGGCGGCTGTCCAAGAGCGAGATGGCCACCGGGCTGCGCGCGGTGTCCGCCTTTGCCGTCGGGCTTGGCACCATGAATGACGAGATCTTCCAATACCTGCAGAGCTTCCTGACCGGGATCCTGCAGCAGGCGGACCTGTCGGAGGCGGCCGCCGTGGCCGGGCTCCAGGCCCTGACCCTGGCCACGGTGTTCATGTCCGAGGACAGCGACCAGCTGGTGGTCCTCTTGCGGCAGCTGGTGCAGGCGGTCAGCACCGCGGCCGACGCGGCCGGGCTCGATGCCACCGTGGACATGATCGACAGCGGCGACGATGAGGCCGACGCCTTGTCATCCGGCGCCGGGCCCAGCGGGGAGTGGCTGCTGCCCGGTAAGTCGGCCGCGCGGCCGGCCGTGCGCGTGGCCGTCCTCCAGGCTCTGGCCTTTGCCGGGTCCTTCCACCCGGCTGGGGGCCGCGTTTTGCGGCCGCTGGCCCCGGGGCTCGTTCCCATCCTGGCGGCCACCCTGCTGGAGGCGGAGGAGCAGCAGCAGCTGGACCTGAAGTCCGCCGCCGCCCTGGGGCTGGTGGCCCTGGTGGCCGGCACCCCGGAGGCCAACCACCTGACCGGGCGCTTTGGCCCGGGCCTGCTGGAGCATCTGCCGCCGCTGGTGGCCACATTGCAGGCGCTGACGCACTCGCGGCACCAGAGCCAGCAGCAATTGGCCAGCTCCTACCGGGCCTTTGCCGACCTGCTGGATGCCCTGCGCATGGAGGAGTTCGAGCCGGAGGAGGTGAATCTCGGCAGTGGCCAGGCCGACATGGCCCCGCTGCCGTACTTGCTGTCCTCGTCGCGGGCCCGCTGCCGGGAGCCCTACATGCAGGATATCTTCCCGGGGCAGGCGCTGGACTTCCAGGTCCGCTTCAATGTGGCCGTGCGCGGGCTCTTTGGCCTTGGGCCGGTGGTCGATCGCCTGGTGGTCGGCCTGACGGAGGAGGAGATCGACCGGATGTTCATGGACAAGCGCACCCTGCAGCTGGTGCGTGAGGATGATGCTCGCCAGCGTGCGCGCGACATCGCCACCCAGCGCCGGACCAAGCACGACCTCGGGGAGTTCTAGTCGCGTGGGTGCATGCACTTTCGTTGCCTGTCCGCGTAGACGTGTGCGTGTGTGTGTGTGTGTGTATGTACTCTGCGTCCGCCCGCGTGCGGACACTGGTGCCGTCCCCTCCCCCCCCCCTCCATCGACACACACACACACACACACACACACACACTCCCCAGGCCTCGGACATGGTGTGATGTTTCTGCTCCTCTCGCCCCGCCGTCCTCCCTTTCGCTTCACATCTGCCTAGCTCCGCCGAGCCCCGGAGTCCTGCCGCTCCCTGGCCCCGGCCCCCTGAGGCAGAGTGGCAGCATGGCGATAGGCGGGGAGAACGGCGAGAATGAGATGCGCGACAGATCCCCCCCCCCCCCCTCACCTGTGACGGTGTCCTGCCCTTGTGTGTCCTTGTGTGCTTCTCCGCTGCCCCTCCTCTTGGCCACCCTGTGTGGCTGAGCCTCGTCCCTTGCCCCCCCCCCCCTCCCCCTCCGAACACCACCCACGGGCCAGCATGCCCGTTGCCTTGGCCTGGCCTCTGCCCGGGCTGGCGCCAGCCAGCATCTCAAGACAGGGGTGGGACGAGGGAGAACGGCGCCCATGTGCCCGCTCGCATTTGCGCGCTGACACAAATATACCACCACATAGATGAGAGCAAGTCTTTCGTGTGCTGTATGTATGTGTGCGCAGTGTGTCCGGAGGCGGTGGCGGCGGCGGCGGCGGCGGCGGCGACAGCAGCATGTCCACTTCCGGGTGTCATGGCTGCGGCTCGGGCTGGCAGGGGAAAGCGCCAGCCCGCCGGGCCCTAGTGCCGTACCGGCAGGGGGGGGGGGGGAGTTCCCCAATCCTCGCCCGCGGCCGTGACTGTATGCTTATACCTATATATGTATCTTTACATGTCTGATTGCATATCCTCCCCGCATCGGCACACACACGCCAGTCCCGCGGCCGTGCCCAGGTGTGGGCATGTGCGCGCGCCAATGCAAGCCCATGTGTCGCTACACGTTAACTGTTTGTATTTCGGGGGGGATAAGGCGGCCGAGAGGGGGCGCGCGGGCGCGGGGGAGGACGGCCGACGATGCGCATGACAGCGCACTCGCACAAGTTGGGCAACCGTTGGGGAAACTGGTAACAGATTGCCGCCTGTGCGGGCGGCCAAGCGCAAGTAGTATCACAACAAGAGGGAGGGCGCGGAGGCAGACGAGGTGGAGGCAACAGGCCATGCACCACGACATGGTCCGTCTGGGGGGGCGGAGGAGGAGGAGCGGGGGGAAGGAGGGAGGAGCGGGAGGGTGGGACACGGGCGTGTGCTGGGCACCCCCGCCGGGACTGGGCACGGAGGGGCACCTGCGCGCATCTGCGACGCCTTGCCGCGAGCGACGCCCGCGCGGCAGCGCCCAGAAGCCAGGGCGGCGAGGAGGAGGCCGATGAGGACGGCACGCGTGCAGGCGCATGCTTCGTCTGAGAGGCGGCACACGCGCAGGCAGATGCGCACCCCCAGCCCCATGACGCCCATCGGCGAGGTGCGGGGAAGACCGGGAGAGGGGGGAGGCCGGCGCACGGGGCCCGGGCGCCTGGACTGCGGGCTCCCATCCCTGTGCCCGGCCCCCCCCCCTGCCTGGCCTCCGGCCCGGGCGGCGGGACGCACGCTCACTGGTGGCGGAAGGTGGCCGAAAGCTCGATGTTCTCCACCGGGCGCAGGACAACCTCCGGGAAGGCGCTCACCTTGCGGGCGCTGGTGAAGGTGAAGTTGGACAGCAAGTGGGCCAGGAGGACGCGCTGCTCGATGGAGGCGAAGGTGCTGCCGATGCAGTTGCGCACGCCGCGCGAGAAGGGAATGAAGTCGTACATGCGACTGCTGGTGGCCTTGAAGTCGTCGAAGCGCGAGGGGTCGAACTGGTGGCTGGTCGGGCCCCACACCTTGGGGCTCCGGTGGAGGGCCCACACGTGGATGACCACCTGGGTGCCGACCGGCAGGGTGTGGGCACCGAGCTGCACCGGCTCGGTCACCTCGCGGCCCAGCTGCGGCACGCTGGGATACATGCGCATGACCTCCTGCACGAAGCTGTCGGTGTGCGGCAGGCCGCGCAGGAGATCGCGCGTGGTGTACCGCACCGGCACGTCGATGCGCTCGGTCGAGCTCTTCAGCGGGTGGTCCAGCAGGCCGAAGCGCGTGGCGAAGTCCCCGAGCTCCTGGATGGCGGCCGCCGACTGGGCCGGGTACTGGGCCGCGCAGTAGGTGGCCCACCCGAGGAAGGTGGACATGGTGTCGTGCCCGGCGAACATGAAGGTGTCCACCTCGCGCATGATGTCCTCGTCGGTGATCTGCTTGGCGGCCGGGTCGCCGCGCCGGGTGGCCTGGGCCGCCAGCATGTGGTCCAGGAACACCGGCCGCAGGCGGGCCTCATCCTTCCAGGTGATGCCCAGGTCCTCGTCGCCGGAGTCCATGTGGCCGAGGTCCGGGCTGGTGGCCGGACGCCCGGCGGTGCCGGTGCCCTGGCCCCCGGTCGGGCCATGAACCGGCGTCGTGGGCCCCGGGTCGCTGATGCGGAATCCGGCGGCCATGGCCAGCGCCGGGGTTTCCTGCAGCAGGCGCCGGCGCGCGCGCATCACCCGGCTGGTCATCCCGTGCAGGACCTTCAAGTGGTGGCGGAATTGGGCCCCATGCCGGGAGAGGGAGAAGAGCAGGTCATTGCGCAGCAGCGGCGAGAAGGCCCGCTTCAGCAGCATGCCGGTCATGAACTTGATGGCCTCGATGTAGGCATCATGCTCGTGGGAGTTCTGCGACTTCAGGTCGATGCCCATGGCCGTTTCGCAAATGATGTCCAAGGCGCAGGTGACAATGTTGTTGTACACATTGAAGTTGTGCCCGGGCGGGCTGGCGGCGATGATTTCCTTGATCTTGGCCACCAGCACCCGGGCCTGGGCGTCCATGATGTCCAGCAGGGCTTCCAGGTTGGCGCTCTTGAAGGAGGGGGTGATCAGCTCCCGGTGCTCGGTCCACTCCTTCCCGTGCGACAGGAGCAGGCCCCCGCCGAGCCAGGGGCTCACCATGTTGTACATCCAGCCCTTCTTGGTGTGGGCGCTGGTGCTGCCTGTGGCGGGGGGGGGGGGGGGGGGGG